GACTGACTGATACTGTTGATTAACTAACTCACTGGCTAGGTTACTGGTCAAATGACAGTATTGGTACTACCCAGCTACATGTATAATTTCAGACTGACTGACTGAATTCAAGTCAGTCAAACTGAATGAATGACCGGTTGATTTGACAGTATAGCTTAGGTAGATTGCATATCTGTGCTAGATCATTTCTCTATTTTACTGTGAACTTTGGGGTGAACCTCAAATCTCTCGCTTATTCTCAGTTCTCTAAATCGCAGGGGGAGTAGGTATAAGCACTTGGTGCAAAGACCTATGGGATCGCATGGGTGTCAACTTTCCGTTTTGATTGGTTGATAGTACCCAAGGCAATCAATACAAGCGCGCAAAGCAGTAGGGGTGAAAACATGGCTCCTTATAACTGCATTGGTTTACTTCTTGTAAAACCTATATTCAACACTACAGTGAATAATTTTCTTTCCAACTTCTTTGTGTTTTTTTTTTCTTGAAGGACCGAAAAATAAGAATTAAACAGCAAATTTAACTGTTCATTGGGTGATCCTTATTTTGGTTAAAAAAAATTCTGGTCTTAACATGAAAAACAAATGACGACCCAATTGTTTTGTTGTTGTTTGCCAGAACAAAGTACTGCTACTTTCAGGGAGAGGAGGCTGTTAAATTTAGTTTTGAATTCCCTATCATTTTCCCAAATCCTTGCTGAACCGTGAAATCATCATTCACTTTACTAGTGAGAAAGTTCTTCCACCTACAATTTTTGTCTTTTATTCCTACCACTAACAAAATTGAAAATCTATAGCAAAATTTCTTATTCACAAAATATTGTGATTTCTTAATATTTCAACTGGAATCAAAAAACCAAAATTCTACTGCAGTGTTGAATAAACTTTTACAAGTTTGTTTGATCAATTTTCAGTCCTTGGAGGGATTTGAGATTTCTAGCTTACAGGGGGAGTGGGGGGGAAGGGGGAATCATCTCGTTGTTTCTCCGTGCGATTTCAGTACGTTTTGGTGGCAGAAAGGTGGTTGGAATAAGAAAATCACCAATGTAAGATAGTAGTTTGGTATGCGAGAAATCATGTTAACATCTTTATTAAAAAGAACTGCCATGTTAAGCGAGGAGAATTGATATTTTCATCACCATGGGGGTAAAAGAAGTTCACAGTATATTTTTTGGTAACGCTTTGACTTGTTGCGAAATTTCAGACCGTCTATATTAAATGGTCAGTTTTTACCGCAAAATTCGCCACAAATATGTGGCTTATTATTTTGTCTTTAAATTTTAATTCGCTGCAAAATCGTAGACTTGTTTGCAGTTGCGTGAGATTGTCACGCTTTGCGTGACGACCCCAAGAGCAACTTCAAGGAAGACTACAAACATTTTATATCACACGAATTTGTCACAGTCAATATATTTTCTGACGATCTCTTTTGCAAAAAGCCCCTGGTTGTGGCGTACTTTGCGTCGAAATTCATAGCTGTTTAATAATAAAGACGAGTCTGATTTTTGCCACAAAGCTTTACTAGGAGTTTATCAAAAGCAGAACTTAGCTTGTACTTCATTTGCACCCGCAAGTACTTTAAGCTCGAAATACCAGTGTTGGTGCGAGTTCGAGAATTACCTTTCATGTTGCTCAACAAGCGAATTATAAGAATTTGCGCGGGGAAAAGGTCTTTTAATATGCACATCAAGTCATTTTACCCACGCAAGTGATTATAATTTTGCTGCTTTGCGACATTTTATATTTATTTTTCAAATTCTGCTGAGTTTGCATACAGACTCGTACTTTGATGTTTAAGTACTTGTGGTTTTGTCTGTCGAAAAGGCTTGGGCAGGGTGAAACATTGCGCGCAGCAAAATTACATCGTATTTCTAGCGCTGAGGTTGTTGCGTGCGATGTGTAAAGAAAAACAATTCTTTTCTTTCGATTTGTATTTTTACTACATTGTACGCAACAATCGCTTTGTTGGAAAACGTTGTAAGGTAAAGATTGGTTTGAACTAGCGACATAAACACAAGCAAAACAGGTACAACTGAGTTTAGCAAGGTCATCAACGACATGGGCATAAGCAGAAACACTGGAGAAACACACTTATTCTTTTCTTGTTCTTACCACTGTAATTTGCGCAATTTAAGGACACGAGAAATAAAAGTCGAATTCGTTACTCTTGGTGAGGATAGAAAGAATAAGTTTACGTTTCCTGAGATTGTGTTTATGGTTTTGCTGTTGACGTCCGCACTAAACTTGCGCTTGTGTTTATGTCGCTGGTGAAATAAATCAGTCTTCGCTGCGCACAATGTTTCACTGTGTCCAAGCCTTTTATCTGGTTCACTCAAGTAGTTGGATTACAAAGTAAACAGCACAGGTACTGAAGGTAACAGTATTTTATTGAGGAATAAAGCTTGTCTCTGTTGTCCATTTATTTACAATAAAAAAAATTATAAAAAAAAAGTAATCTAGCCTCCCCGTCCCTGCCGGGCTGCTTCCACTCTGCTCCGAGTCGGTGTTCATTCTTCTGTCCTCATTTGATATTCCAACTTTAAAATCCTGGTCTGTTTTATCTGATCACTTCATTCAAGCTGGGGGCAGTTGGACACTTAGAAAATTTGGTCGTTTGTCCCCAAGTGGGGAGGGCAGCGTAAAGGAAAGTGAGAGTTTGCTCCTCATGCCCTCAGGGTATCATTCAACTTTGTCACAATACCACACCAAATTAATTTGGAATTAAAATTAGCCAAAACTTTTTGTAGTGAAAACTATAATTTTGATTTGAAAGTGCGTGTCTGCAAAGTCAATATATCGTGAAAAATATCCAGAGTCGTGGACAAGGAAAAAGAGGGCGCAAGACAGTGAAACTCAGTCTTCAGTGGGTCTCCGTCATCGATGCCCAGAAAATTGAACAAAGAATCGCGCTGGTCTGACCAACCTTCATTCCACAAACTTCACCAAAGAGCACAAGTCAATAATAATCTCTCCTCTGCGAAGCTACTGATATTGGATTTCTCTCGTCCTAGTTATTGTTTAGTATTTAGTATTAAGACCTACATTAAAGGAAATTTGGAAGTCAAAATTACGCGGATTGTTTACGCGTCGTTTATTATTGCTGTTATTCTTAAGAGTCGAAATTATCTGAAAGTTATAAAGCGAAACATTAAGAAGCACAATTTACGCAGTACTGCTACAGTACCGCGTAAATTGTGCTTTAAATATTTCGTTTTATATCTTAAAATTGGTTGCCCTTATAATCTAATGTTGAATTCGTTTAAATCAGTGCCGCGTAGGTTCGCCGTCAAATTTCGCCAAACTAAAGGGATTAAAGCGATTTTGCAGATGATTTAAAGTTTTGCTTTCCGTGGAAATAATTCGATTAATTCTCTCATTGAAATAAAGGTTTATTTCTACCTTAATAAATCAGTGCGAAAGAAATGTGAAGCTAGTAATATCTAATGTTTCAGTTCCTAAAAAAAATTTGGATTCGATAGCAAGTCTTAAACCTTTAAATCTTTATGTTTTTTGCATAATTATTATTTAAATTGTCCTATGTTTAAGTTCCCACGAGATTCGAAGCTTACGTCACGATGGTCACGCTAGCCGACTGTACCAGCATTGCGTGACGATCGTGACAATAGCCCAAATAGCGTGGAAACACGGTAGTGACTTGAATGGGTACTTCAAATCGGGAATCCGATAAATGACTGGAACTAGCCAAATGTATACATTTTTAATATAACAAAATAATGATCTTACTTATATGGTTCCAGACCTTTATCCGAAACCCTAATTTGAAGCATCAATTGAAGTCACCACCGAGAAATTGCCCTACAGCGCGAAAGTTAAGACTTAGCAAAAATGTTTATTCTAGCTGTTTTATACATAAGGCTATCCGAAATTTAGGTCAAGTTAACCTGATTTTTCACACAGTCCAAGGAAATCTATTCTATGTCCTTCTTAAAAATAAGGATATAGAGCAGATTACCACAGCTGTCTGATTAATCAAGCATTTCCTTATTTCGAAAATGGTTTAGTATCTAAAGCTGATATTATTAGTCTAACATCAACAGCCATGTTTGTTTGCCTATTGTTTTCAGTTGACCAAAAAACAACAGGTAAAAAAAAACAGATGTTGAGGTGACCTAAACTTAGTTTTGATAAATTTGTTATAATCTGACGCAGGAAAAAGATGAAAATGAAATAAATTTGGACCTATTTATGAGCGTTGTTTTGTTTTTATGGTTTTAGTTAAATTTTCAGCTAATCAGGTAGGAAAAAGATGGAAATGAAATAAATTGGGACCTATTTATGAGCGTTGTTTTTTTTGGCGGTTTTTAGTTAAATTTTCAGCTAGTCAAAAAATATCAGTACAAAATTTGGCAATTATGGGAATGATTTATATGCTATATTTGTTTTTGTGCAATATTTTGGAAAGCTATTTATTGTTAGGAAATGAAAAGCTTTAGGTTTAGAAGAGAAATCCTTAACCAGTTGCCCCCCATTAGAGAGATTCTTAGTGACTATCAGCTCAATTTGATGTCATTCGTGAAAATCCACCCAAGCCAGACCAATGCCATTCAGTGCTCAGTTCTCTGCCCTCGAATCATCCGTCGACACACCTACTACGTGAGCCGGGGAGCACGTTCTTGCACCCCCGTTTTCCATCCTCAACAGTGAAACATTCCCAGACATATTGTTTGCAGACAAGCAACTTTCTTGATCAAAATGGTTACTTAATATTTTTTGGAAAAAGGTGTGGTATCATAACAAAATGAATGAATCCCTAAGAACATGAGAAGCAAACTCTCACCTTCCTTCACGCTGTCCTCCCCACTTGGGAACAAACGGCCAAATCTTCCAAGTGTCCAACTGCCCTCAGCATGAATGACAGGATCAGATAAAGTTTCCCAGGATTTCTCAGTTGGAATATCTCAGAGGACATCAGAATTCACACCTTCTCAGAGGCAGAGCTTCCACAGTCCAGCAGGGACGAGGTTGGCTAGATTTAAACATGACCTTTCCCAAGTGATGGGCTCCTAATCTTGTGCGTGTGCCACCTGAGGTCTGAAATTAAATAAGAACTTAAAAAAATAATAATGAAAAGCTAATGGCCTAAAAAAACAACTAACAATTCTTGACGACACCACTGGTTTCCCCATGAAATGACCCAAAAATGAAGAATAAGTGAGGAAATTCTATAATAATGATGTGTCACTTCCCAGATCTGGGTGATGCTTCTGATTGGTCTTGCCACAAGGATAATGTGTTTCAACCAATCTGAAGCCACACCTAGATATGGCTAGTGACATAATATCAGTCATCATTTTGCTGGAAAACCAGTGATAGCATCTGGAAAAGTCAGCTGTTTTCAAAGGCTTAGCTAAAGCAAGCCTACCAAAAAATTAATAATATTAAGATAACTAATGCAAGCTCATTAGCACATTAAACAAAACTAGATATTTCTTGGTGCTACAAGTGCTCTCGTAATGTAAACATGCATTCAACTAATGCTTTGATTAAGTGCAGAAAAATGGGAAGAACAGGAATGACAAGGAGCAAATTCCTTCAACTTACATGTCAGACCTTTTGAAAACCTATGGAAATTGGAAAAAAAAATTACCGAGAGCAAAATGCAAAACCAAGAAAACTAATATATTCAGATACAATATAAATGCAATCAAAAGTCTGCAGTCTGCATCGTATGAGATCCGTGTAAAAAATTAGGTACTCAAAAGTTAATAAAAAAAATTGTTTTAGTTTTAAAATAATCAGTGATCTGGAAACAACAATCTATTTACTGCGAGTTTCGTCGAAAATGAAAATAAGCAGAAGCAGACAAGAGATTGCCTTAGACAAAATGTTCATGTAAAGTTATGACTAATCCATTTTGTGTTATAATCCTTAAGATTGTACTTTTCGTAAGATTTTTCCCAGGCTCACTGTTTCTTAAGAATTTCCTGTTGCTATGGCGCTCTGTTTTAAATTAATCTGAAGAATGGACAAAATCCTTTGTGCACCAACCTCACCTTGAAGTCCCAACAGAGGACAAAATCAATCATCAAAGTTATTAAAAATCAAACAAAAATGAACCTCTACCTACTTGACACTTACGTACATTCTCCTTACTAGTACCATAAGAGAGGTAAGAAGATCAGTAAGGAGAATTTCTCTCTTGATATTGGGACTTCAAAGATTAAGGTCATTGTGGTTAAAACACTTTTATATTCGTATCCATACTGTGCTTTGTAGACATAGCCTACAAATGTAGATGCAATTCCAGCTATAGTTTCCTGGCCACTGATAGCCAGAGAGATGCCTTGGCTGACAAAGCTCAAGCTCATCTTTTCCCTTAATGCAAGATCATCATAAGTTTTCTGTTGGTCAAGGTTTGCAGATATAAATTATAGCTCATAGCTTACCTGTATTGCCATTTTGTTCTTAAAATTTAACGATGTATATACCTAGTAGTAGTAAAGTACTACTATTTCTTGCAGCCTGCACGTAAAGTCCCTGAGTAAAGTAATATGTTACTTAGGAGGTTTACAACTAATATTGTGCTAATGAGCTTGCTGTAGACTGATTAATTCTAGCATTAAATTAACACTTCTACTGTATAAGTGGAATCCTGGTTCTTTGAACCTATTGATTATTTAAATTAAAACCCATTTTCCTAACCCTGAAGTCACTGTAATTTTCTTATTTCGCCTTTTCAACCAGAAAATAGCAACAAAGCCCAATGCCCAAAACGAAACTTAATTTCCCCCCTTTTTCTTTGAAATTCTATAACCAAACTCCATTTTCAAAAAAGGTTCAAAAAATCATAGTTCCACTGTGTTAAGATAAAACAGGAAGCACAACAACTCCTATAAATAAGAAGAGTTCCAATAGAAGGTGGACCTATGAAAAGAATTGAGTGTGTGGCGAACTTTAACAAAAGGAATAAAATCAAAGCAAAGTTAAAAAATCCTGCCCGTGTGATTAATTTTTGCTGTGATAAGGTTGTAATGCTTCCCATGCCTCTAATCATACAGGTAACATTGTGCTTCCCACTGAAAGTCAGTGAATGGCTAATGTATTGTGACTGGTGGTCCCAAGCAATTACACGGAAAACTAGGCCACTCCCACCTACACTGGCAGCACAATGTGTATGTAGCAAAAGCTCTATAAGCCCCATCCTACCACCCACACTATCACTGATCACAGCCTCTATTTCTTTAAGACTAGATTTGTAACCTCATCCTCCTATTTATTACACCATCCACTTACCTTGAAGGCCATTGGTTTTGCAGGAAATGTCAGGAACAGATTTTCATCAGACCAATGCAAGGACATTTTGCCAGTTTGTGGAAGATTATCGATGAAAAAGATCACCTCTTCTCTAATTTTCCTCTTATTATTGAGATAACAAAATATCCTTTCTTTGCCCCCACCCCTAATCGTTTACCCCTTCCCCCTCCTCTAATTCCTCAAACCCTCCTTAAAAGGCAGATAGGGGCTTAATTGAGCTTTTACGGTTTAAGGTAAGAAATAATGTATAAAATATGTACCCACACCCACCCAACAACTACAACTTTATATTAAATATTATTATAATTATGATCACTATTACGTTAGCAAGATTTCCTTTGAGCAGTGAAGCACTAGGCCCGAGGGTGGTACTTTATGAATATTTGGGTGGGGATGTGTCACTAGGACCCTGAACCCCTAGCCCGTACCAAACTGGTATTAAATTATTTTTTGGTATTATTTTTTAGTATTAAATTATTTTTTGAAACAATTTCTCTGTATCTAGTTAGCAGATGAATTAATACTGTGTCTAATCTTTGATAAAATTGCCAAATCCTGAGGAAAGTTCATTTTATAATCACTATTTAATATAATTATATTATTCTTGGCTACAAAGTTTCATTCACCATTGTCTTGCAAGAATGAACCCTTTTCCCTTTTCTTCCTAGAGGCAAATGTCCTTTGTAAAATTGAATGACGTATGTACTGCTCAAAGGAATCTTGTGTGTTAACTAATAATTTGTAAGTAGTACAAATAAGCCTCTAGATCTTATTTCAAAAAAATAAATGAATTTTTTTGGAACAAAATAATCCAATTTGAAAACAAAGCTTGCTTAATTTATGAAAACTTTGCCTAACTGATAAGTCCCTGTCCAGTTGCTAAATTGAACTGGATGGTGACTCATCTACTTCCAAAAATAAAGAAACTGTTGATAAAATTTCTTAGTGACACTTATTTGTACAAATATGGTGGCACACACACTGTATAATATATCATTATTCTTGGAATACAGATACCTTAAGTATTCCCTCCAATAGTGAATTACAGAATTCTTTATAAAAACTTGACCTTACTACATATTCAGCAATCTACTCTATTGCTGAAATGTGCTGAATATCCAACAGTGGCTGAATTTTGATTGGATAAATAAAAGAAGGTTTTCTTTGAATCAGGAAAGATGAAAACTACAGGTAAAACTCAAAGGAAAAATATTGCAAATGAATCAATTCACTATTGTTGGGAATACCATGGACCTGTTTTGACTAATGCATGAAGTCCTATTTGTTGAAATGGTCAATATTCTTCGGTTTTTGTGTTTGTTTTTTGTCTTTTTGTTCACTGCCAAACTAAATGAATGTTGAATGGGGGTTGTGGAACAACAGCTGGGTGAAAAACCTCCCCGTACGTCCACTTGCTCCTAGGAGGAAAACCCCGGGCCAGCTGTACCCCGCATTCAATGACCTCCCGGGCTGGGTCAGAAATATTCTAAAACCCAGTACCTGTGGTAGGGTACTAGCCAGTGTGACTGTTGGAAAAAATGATAGGATTATATGAAATAATACTAAACCAGATATTTGTAATGAGACAGCTTGGATTCTGTTATCCCCTGATTCAGCCTCTTCACTGTTGGCTGTTGACTTCCTGCATAGAGCTATTGATGAATCACTGACCAGTTTGCCAAATCTTTTGTCCTTTCCTGTCTGAGAAAAATAAAATTCACTATCACTCAATAAGAAAGCACTCTGTAACTTCTAGAATAACTTTTGGCTTAAAGTATTTATAGGGTCAGAGACAAACATGGAATGTAAGCCAACTATCTACTATGACATAACTTGGCCAGGTCTCACAAAAAAACCCAACTCATACAAATGTAAAGCAGGCAACTAAGTCTGTCCACAAAGAGTTGTGGCCTTACACATTCTATAAGAGATAACAAGGAATATAGAAAATGACAGAAAAATAACTTAATTATTTTGACTGACTAGGGTGACTAAGTTGACTAATAGGGTGACTAGGGTGGGTGACTAGGGTGATTAGGGTGACTAAGGTGACTTGGGTGATTAGGGTGACTTGGGTGACTAGGGTGACTAGGGTGACTTGGGTGACTAGGGTGACTAGGGTGACTACAGTGACTTGTGTGACTAGGGTGACCTGGGTGACTTGCGTGACTATGATGTCAGGGTTACTTTTTTCAAGAATGACTAGGGTGTTTAAGTATGAGGATAAATTAAAAAATACAAATGATAGTAATAAAGAAAAGGAAATAATAAACAGTAGGGCCATTTATACAAGGGAGAATAAGCCACGGCTTTCTTTGGCCGCAGCTTTTGTAAGACACAAAAAGAACTATTTATACTAGTACGATTTCCATTAGATGGGAAAAATGCTCATACAAAAAGGCATATTTTACACAGTCTTTTCCATTTCAGGATTGCTGTTGGGCTGTTGTGAAACTTGTGGGAAACCTCGAGGAAAAGCTGTTTATTGTTCAATCGAGTGCTTTGAAAAAGACATTTCAGCAGCACAGCAGGACATTTTCCTACCACTACATTGCAATTCTTTGGGCCATGAAAGTGGGAGATACAATGTAATTGAAAACTGAGCATGTGCATCAATTGGACAACATTTAAAGGCATTTATATGAACACTTTAACATCCAAGAAGGCAAGCCGCGACTTGGATAAGCCCAGCCCAAAATTACTTGACCAATCTGTGTCTTAGCTAGCTGTGGGTTAAATATGCCATGAACATAGATTTTGTACTATTTATACCGGGGAGGGGGGGACTCCCCATATGAAAGGGGTGGGGATGCTCGTCGTCTCGCTTTTTAATTAGGGGCATAAAATTTCGGATTTTAGTCTCACTTAGGGTGTTCTGGGCAAAATGCCATCATATTTAGCCGTGAAGGTCTCGTTTAGGATTGAAAGCAAAACAATATTTAAATATACATATTGTCTGTGTTTTAACATGGTCTCTTTTAGGGGTCAAAAAAAGCTTGGGCCCCGCCCAGATCGGTCTCCTTTAGGGGTTCAATTCAAAATTTCCGATGAGCATCCCCCGTATTTATATGGGCCATAGTTGATAGAGAGAGAGCCATCTTTCGTCGCAGGATCTTGCATCTGTCATGGCCAACAGACCTTACTGTTACTGGCCTTACTGTTACTGTTAACTTTATTTTTACCCTGAGGGAGCCCAATGTCTATAAGCCTCATGGTTTCTTTTTGGACTTCATCTTCTGCTTTAGTGTAACTGTCTTGTTTTATCGTTATTTGTATTTTGTGGTAAATCAAATAAAGTTACAAAGACAGACTTATAAAATTAGTTCAAATGTGCCCGAAATAGATAGATATGTGGGATATTTGCGTCTTGTGTAAGCCGTGGCTGGAGTAAGCCATGGCTTATTTTTCTCTCGTATAAACAACCCTGTTATGTATAGTAAGGATTTGGAAATTAGTGCTTACCTCCAGCAGAAATCCTGGCTTCTCCTCTTTACATCATTCAGTACTGCTGTCTTCTTGTCCAGCCTCTCCAAGGTCAATTTACCACACCATTTTACAGCAGGAGCTTTGATCCATTACCTTGGCTACACATATGATGCCATTATTGTCTTGTTCAGTCTCTGGATCCTTATCAGTTTTCCATAACAGCCCTGTTCTTGATACTGTCCATCACCTTGTCACTTAAACTGGGGTGTTCTTTGTGAAAAAGGGAATGAGTAAATGATCAGAGTCGATAGCATATAGATATTAGCCTGCGTGGCAGACTTTTTGAAAGGGATGGGAAAGGGAGTTTTAGGCGTGAGACAAACGCCTGCCACGCAGGCTATATATATATATAGGCTTACTTGCAATAAATATGACACATTCTACCGCTAATCATGTTCATGTAAAACCCTTTGAATACACAGTAGTACCCAAGTAAAATGCTTTTTCTCAGTTAAAACTGACATCTCAGCATGGACACCAGTTTACAGTGAGACACACTTTCGCAATACAGTAAAAACCCACGTATAAAAACCTAGATTTTTCTAACGTAGCCTAAAGAGGTTCTTACAGAAATGGTATTTAGTGGGATTTTAGGCTACTTCGGTTCTTAAATAGGTTCTAAATTTGATAGGGGCACTAGCAATCATCACAGATAACTACTATAGGGCATATGTGATATGGAATATATTGCTGTATTAAATAATAATCTAGAATACAGTTTAAGCTAAGTAGGTCCTTACGAAAAGGGGGTTTAAAATGAAAATTTTAGCCTAACAAGTTCTTAAAGTTTAGGTTCTTATATGTGGGTTTTTACTAGAAAAGGTTTGACACGCGACAGGGAGAGAGACACGTGTCACGTGTCACGTGTCGCATGCGAGAGACAAGTGTCACCTTTTCTCGCGTCGGGAGATTTTCACACGCGCTTGGGTTTTGCTCACTCTACTATCCCTCAGGAAAAAAGGGGGACTACTTGTAGTCTACTTTTGCAACGGACATAGTATGAATTATGGTTGTCCCTTATGATTTTATTTTCAATTTTCTGATAAAAACAATGGAATATTTTATCATTAACATTATTTTTCCTGTGCAACTTTTCTTTTTTGCTTCATGTAAATATTAATTTGTTTATCTCCACTGATGACCACATCAGGAGACAGTAAGCACAAAACACAGGTCACAGGTCAGACGTGCACATTGCAGTGAACATCACCATTCTATGGTTAATAAACAACACTAAAGGTGTCTCCTGGCCATAATCACAATCTGAAATACAGTTTTAGTTTAAGGGGAAACTGCTTATCTCTGTTACTAATCAATAGAGCAGTAACCTGCAATTTTGCCTACCTCACCCTCGTTCATCCTTGTCTGGAATATGCCCTCAGCGGGTGGGACCCACATACTCGAAAGTATTGCCACTATGTTGAAGGAGCACAGCGGTGGCCGCCAGATTTGTAAAAAACTGCTACGAGCGGGAACCTGGTACAGTCACTAATCTCCTGAACAATTTGAACTCGCACTCACTAGAAATGACATGCAAAATTGCATGAGTTACCACCATGTACGAAATAGTGAACAATAAAATCAGGGTCAATATTCCAGAATACAACACAATAAACAAGTTCCAAAAAATACCTAGAATGTAATGCTGTTGTCTTCTAAGTCCACTCTCCAAAGAACGCAGTCTCTGACCAGTTTCACACACTTGTTGCCTTTTTTCTGCCTGAAAAAGAAATAAATCATTTTCATCAGCTAAAAAAAGGTGAAAGTGTGATTATCACTTCGTGCTAAAACTCTTAACGCTCCCTGGCATTCTCATGAAAACCCTACATACATAAATAATTCAAAATAACATTTCCTAGATGAAGATCAACCATTTAGATTTACAACTGTACATTGTAATTCAAAATTTCCGATGAGCATCCCCCCCCCTTTCATATGTAGAGTCCCCCCCCCCCCCGGTATTTATACGGGGCATAGTTGATAGAGAGAGAGCCATCTTTCCTCGCAGGATCTTGCATCTGTTATGGCCAACTGACAAGAATGAGACAGACTTATAAAATTAGTGCAAATGTGCCCGAAATAGATAGATATATGGGATATTTGCGTCTTGTGTAAGCCGTGGCTGGAGTAAGCCATGGCTTATTTTCTCTTGTATAAACAACCCTGTTATGTATAGTAAGGATTTGGAAATTTGTGCTTACCTCCAGCAGAAATCCTGGCTTCTCCTCTGAAGTTCACCACATCAGGTGCTTTACATCATTCAGTATTGCTGTCTTCTTGTCCAGCCTCTCCAAGGTCAATTTACCACACCATTTTACAGCAGGAGCTTTGATCCATTACTTGGCTACACATATGATGCCATTATTGTCTTGATCAGTCTCTGGATCCTTATGAGTTTTCCATAACGGCCCTGTTCTTGATACCGTCCATCACCTTGTCGCTTAAACTGGGGTGTTCTTTGTTAAAAAGCGAATGAGTAAGGCACCACATTAATAAAAGATCAGAGTCGATAGATATATATATAGGCTTAACTGCAATAAATATGACACATTCTACAGCTAATTAAGTTCACGTAAAACCCTTTGAATACACAGTAGTACCCAAGTAAAATGTTTTTTCTCAGTTAAAACTGACATCTCAGCATGGACACCAGTTTACAGTGAGACACACTTTTGCAATACAGTAAAAACCCACGTATAAAAACCTAGATTTTTCTAACGTAGCCTAAAGAGATTCTTACAGAAATGGTATTTAGAGGGATTTTAGGCTACTTTGATTCTTAAATAGGTTCTCAATTTGATAGGGGCACTAGCAATCATCACAGATAACTACTATAGGGCATATGTGATATGGAATATATTGCTGTATTAAATAATAATCTAGAATACAGTTTAGATGATAACCATACAGTAAATTTATCTTTCCAAAGTACTACCATGCGTGTCTTTTATGCTACAGAGTCCATAAATGCTGTGTTGGCAGAGACATAACATGGTTTTCATTTTAGTTCATTCTTTGAATCTTAGTGACTGAAATGTAAACTAAAATGTTTTTTTTTTGTATTTTCATCTGAGGCTTCATTTTTGTAAAATAAGAACCCATTGAAAATTTTAAGCTAAATAGGTTCTTATGAAAAGGGGGTTTAAAATGAACATTTTAGCCTAACAAGTTCTTAAAGTTTAGGTTCTTATATGCGGGTTTTTACTAGAAAAGGTTGACATGCGACAGGGAGAGAGACACATGTCACCTGTCGCGTGAGAAAGACAAGTGTCACCTTTTCTCGCGTCGGGGGATTTTCACCCGCGCTCGGGTTTTGCTCGCTCTACTATCCCTGAGGAAAAAAGGGGGACTACTCGTAGTCTACTTTTGCAATGGACATAGTATGAATTATGGTTGTCCCTTATGATTTTATTTTCAATTTTCTAACAAAAACAATGGAATATTTTATCATTAACATTATTTTTCCTGTGCAATTTTTCTTTTTTGCTTCATGTAAATATTAATTTGTTTATCTCCACTGTACTAATGACCACATCAGGAGATAGTAGGTACAAAACACAGGTCAGATGTGCACATTGCAGTGAACGTCACCATTCTATGGTTAATAAACAACACGAAAGGTGTCTCCTGGCCATAATCACAATCTGAAATACAGTTTTAGTTTAAGGGGAAACTACTTATCTCTGTTACTAATCAATAGAGCAGTAACCTGCAATTTTGCCTACCTCAACCTTGTTCATCCTTGTCTGGAAAATGCCTGCAGCGTGTGGGACCCACATACTCGAAAGTATTGCCACTATGTTGAAGGAGCACAGCGGTGGCCGCCAGATTTGTAAAAAACTGCTACGAGCGGGAACCTGGTACAGTCACTAATCTCCTGAATGATTTGAACTGGCACTCACTAGAAATGACACGCAAAATTGTATGAGTTACCACCATGTACAAAATAGTGAACAATAAAATCGCGGTCAATATTCCAGAATACAACACAACAAACAAGTTCCAAAAAATACCTAGAATGTAATGCTGTTGTCCTTTAAGTCCACTCTCCAAAGAACGCAGTCTCTGACCAGTTTCACACACTTGTTGCCTTTTTTCTGCCTGAAAAAGAAATAAATCATTTTCATCAGCTAAAAAAAGGGTGAAAATGTGATTATCACTTCGTGCTAAAACTCTTAACCCTCCTTGGAATTCTCATGAAAACCCTATGTACATAAATAATTCAAAATAACATTTCCTATATGAAGAAGATCAACCATTTAGATTTACAACTGTACATTATAATTCAAAATTTCCGATGAGCATCCCCACCCCTTTCATATGTAGAGTCCCCTCCCCCCTCCGGGTATTTATACAGGGCATAGTTGATAGAGAGAGAGCCATCTTTCCTCGCAGGATCTTGCATCTGTTATGGCCAACTGACAAGAATGAGACAGACTTATAAAATTAGTGCAAATGTGCCCGAAATAGATAGATATATGGGATATTTGTATCTTGTGTAAGCAGTGGCTGGAGTAAGCCATGGCTTATTTTCTCTTGTATAAACAACCCTGTTATGTATAGTAAGGATTTGGAAATTTGTGCTTACCTCCAGCAGAAATCCTGGCTTCTCCTCTGAAGTTCACCACATCAGGTGCTTTACATCATTCAGTACTGCTGTCTTCTTGTCCAGGCTTGTCCAGGCTTATTTTTGTCCAGGCTTATTTTTTGTCCAAGGTCAATTTACCACACCATTTTACAGCAGGAGCTTTGATCCATTACCTTGGCTACACATATGATGCCATTATTGTCTTGTTTAGCCTCTGGATCCTTATCAGTTTTCCATAACGGCCCTGTTCTTGATACCGTCCATCACCTTGTTGCTTAAACTGGGGTGTTCTTTGTGAAAAAGGGAATGAGTAAGGCACCACATTAATAAAATAATGATCAGAGTCAATAGCATATATATATAGGCTTACCTGCAATAAATATGACACATTCTACAGCTAATTATGTTCACGTAAAACCCTTTGAGTACACAGTAGTACCCATTAAAATGTTTTTTCTCAGTTAAAACTGACATCTCAGCATGGACACCAGTTTACAGAGAGACACACTTTTGCAGTATGGGTAAAAACCCACGTATAAAAACCTAGATTTTTCTAATGTAGCGTAACGAAATGGTATTTAGTGGGATTTTAGGCTTCTTCTGTTCTTAAATAGGTTCTCAATTTGATAGGGGCACTAGCGATCATCACAGATAACTACTATAGGGCATATGTGATATGCATATATTACTGTATTAAATAATAATCTAGAATACAGTTTAGGTGATAACCATACAGTAAATTTATCTTTCCAAAGTACTACCATGCGTGTCTTTCATGCTACAGAGTCAATAAATGCTGTGTTGGCAAAGACATAACATGGTTTTCATTTTAGTTCATTCTTTGAATCTTAGTGACTAAATGTAGACTAAAATGTCTTTTTTGTATTTTCATCTGAGGCTTCATTTTTGTAAAATAAGAACCCATTGAAAATTTTAAGCTAAATACGTTCTTAAGAAAAGGGGGTTTAAAATAAAAATTCTAGCCTAACAAGTTCTTAAAGTTTGGGTTCTTGTATGTGGGTTTTACTAGAAAAGGTTGCCAAGCGACAGGGAGAGAGACAAGTGTCACCTTTTCTCGCGTCGGGGGATTTTCACCTGCGCTCGGGTTTTGCTCACTCTACTATCCCTGAGGAAAAAAGGGGGACTACTCGTGGTCTACTTTCGCAATGGACATAGTATGAATTATGGTTGTCCCTTATGATTTTATTTTCAATTTTCTGACAAAAACAATGGAATATTTTATCATTAACATTATTTTTCCTGTGCAATTTTTCTTTTTTGCTTCATGTAAATATTAATTTGTTTATCTCCACTGATGACCACATCAGGAGATAGTAGGCACAAAACACAGGTCAGACGTGCACATTGCAGTGAACGTCACCATTCTATGGTTAATGAACAACACGAAAGGTGTCTCCTGGCCATAATCACAATCTGAAATACAGTTTTAGTTTAAGGGGAAACTGCTTATCTCTGCTACTAATCAATAGAGCAGTAACCTGCAATTTTGCCTACCTCAACCTTGTTCATTCTTGTCTGGAATATGCCTACAGCGTGTGGGACTCACATACTCAAAAGTATTGCCACTATGTTGAAGGAGCACAGCGGTGGCCGCCAGATTTGTAAAAAGCTGCTACGAGCGGGAACCTGGTACAGTCACTAATCTCCTGAATGATTTGAACTGGCACTCACTAGAAATGACACGCAAAATTGCATGAGTTACCACCATGTACAAAATAGTGAACAATAAAATCGCGGTCAATATTCCAGAATAGAACACAACAAACAAGTTCCAAAAAATACCTAGAATGTAATGCTGTTGTCCTCTAAGTCCACTCTCCAAAGAATGCAGTCTCTGACCAGTTTCACACACTTGTTGCCTTTTTTCTACCTGAAAAAGAAATAAATAAATGCTGTGTTGGCAAAGACATAACATGGTTTTCATTTTAGTTCATTCTTTAAATCTTAGTGACTGAAATGTAGACTAAAATGTTTTTTTTGTATTTTGATCTGAGGCTTCATTTTTGTAAAATAATTAGAACCCATTAAAAATTTTAAGCTAAATAGGTTCTTATGAAAAGGGGGTTTAAAATGAACATTTTAGCCTAACAAGTTCTTAAAGTTTAGGTTCTTATATGCAGGTTTTTACTAGAAAAGGTTGACATGCGACAGGGAGGAGGACACATGTCACCTGTCGCGTGAGAGAGACAAGTGTCACCTTTTCTCGCGTCGGGGGATTTTCACCCGCGCTCGGGTTTTGCTCACTCTACTATCCCTGAGGAAAAAAGGGGGACTACTCGTAGTCTACTTTTGCAATGGACATAGTATGAATTATGGTTTTCCCTTATGATTTTATTTTCAATTTTCTGACAAAAACAATGGAATATTTTATCATTAACATTATTTTTCCTGTGCAATTTTTCTTTTTTGCTTCATGTAAATATTAATTTGTTTATCTCCACTGATGACCACATCAGGAGATAGTAGGCACAAAACACAGGTCAGATGTGCACATTGCAGTGAACGTCACCATTCTATGGTTAATAAACAACACTAAAGGTGTCTCCTGGCCATAATCACAATCTGAAATAGAGTTTTAGTTTAAGGGGAAACTGCTTATCTCTGTTACTAATCAATAGAGCAGTAACCTGCAATTTTGCCTACCTCACCCTTGTTCATTCTTGTCTGGAATATATATGCCTGCAGCGTGTGGGACGCACATACTCGAAAGTATTGCCACTATGTTGAAGGAGCACAGCGGTGGCCGCCAGATTTGTAAAAAACTGCTACGAGCAGGAACCTGGTACAGTCACTAATCTCCTGAACGATTTGAACTGGCACTCACTAGAAATGACACGCAAAATTGCATGAGTTACCACCATGTACAAAATAGTGAACAATAAGATCGCGGTCAATATTCCAGAATACAAGACAACAAACAAGTTCCAAAAAATACCTAGAATGTAATGCTGTTGTCCTTTAAGTCCACTCTCCAAAGAACGCAGTTTCTGACCAGTTTCACACACTTGTTGCCTTTTTTCTGCCTGAAAAAGAAATAAATCATTTTCATCAGCTACAAAAAAGGTGAAAGTGTGATGATCACTTCGTGCTAAAACTCTTAACCCTCCTTGGAATTCTCATGAAAACCCTATGTACATAAATAATTCAAAATAACATTTCCCAGATGAAGAAGATCAACCATTTAGATTTAGAACTGTACATTGTAAGAACTGGGAACACATTGACAATAAATATGATGAGCTTGAAACATGTTGCTCTGATATAAGTTCTAGCGAGGGCTTGAGTGCAAAATGGGGCCGAGGGATACTTAACAATTTATTATTGAATAAGGCTGAATGTATAGTGCTTCATTCAATGGCACAATAGCCTCAATGCAGAGGGATTAAAAATCTGGCTATTACTTGTTAATTAAAATTTTTCAACCCACTTATTGATGTGTGAACATTTAGCCCTAAAGGGCCTTCCTGATGTTTTACCAACTTCAAAAGGGAAAACTAAACCTTCCCCTCCCCCATCCCCTCCAAGCATGTTGTGCCACTATATTGAGCTGCCTGTAGAAAACAACAAACCTACCAACTTTGAATGCAGGGGAGGGGGAAGGGGTGTAGATTGTTTTGTCTTCTGAAGTTACCCTATTTAGAACCATGTCTCAACAATTTTGTCGCTGATTGTAGTATCAAAGACTTTTTATTACTTTTCTGTTATTTTATTGCCCATAAAAATGATTGTTCCTGACTGAAAAAAGCACCCTACATTTGTGTAATTGTGACCTAATTCATACGCTGCAAAAGAGGAGCAAAAAATAATGCCTTCGCCCTTTGAAGAATCCCAGCTTGCTACCTCTGTGTTGTTCTTTCAAAGTATATTCTATAATGTTAAGATAAAAATATGCAGTCGTCCATGTCATCCCAGTTATACTATTCACCCTAGTGATCCTTGCCACCACAGTCATCCCAGTCAACCTAGTCATCTCAGACAACCTAATCACCCCAGACACCCAATCATCGTATTCATTCCAGTCATCCCAGTCATCCTAGTCACCCCAGTCATCCTCAGTCATCGTTAGTCATTCTCAGTCATCTCTAGTGATCCCAGTCGTCTCAGTCATCCTAGTCATCCCCAGTCATCTGTCCTAGAAAGCCCTACTCACCCTAGACATCCCTGTTATCCCCAGTCATCCTTGTCATCCCCAGTCGTCCCAATCTTCCCTCGTCATCCCAGTCACCTCAGCCATTCCAGTCATCCCCAGTCATCCTTAGTCATTCCAGTCATCCCAGGCTTCTCAGTCACCCCAGTCATTCAAGTCATCCTCAGTCATTCCTACTCATCCTAGTCATCCCCAGTCATTCCTCATCACCCAAGTCATCACAGTCATTCCAGTCATCCTATAGTAATCCCAGGCAACTGGGTCACCTCGGTTACCCAAGTAGCCTTCTCACCCTAGTCATCCCAGTCATCCCTAGTCATTCCAGTCATCCTTGTCGTCCTAGTCATCCCAGTC